AAGGTTTCTATCATTACATTTGATTTGATTAGTTCCTGCTCCCGGTGGTTGGAACCTTTATTCCACCCTGGATTTTTGTGAGTGTAGTCTTTGTTCACTTTACAATAAAAAAATAAAAAAACTGTTATGAAAACTTCAGTATTCATTCTTTTCCTGCTTTGTGTGTCAACTGTCATGGTTGCTAAGCAACATAGCCTACGGCGTTAAAACCCGCCGAAGGGTAGACCTGTTTAAATTCACAGCCAAAACTCTTCTGGTCTCCTTATTTTCACGGACTTTGAAGGATCCAGTCTAGGTAGACCGCGTCCTTGGAGGATGCAGCCCATGAATTCGAACAGAGCTAGAGACTCACCAAAGAAACCGTCTGAAAATAAAAAGCCTGTTGAGTTTAGTTTGACATAGTTTGGATGAAGTGTTGCTGTCTAACTGCTACTTTCAGCTTCATTATACCTTAATGCTGATCATCGTAATGTGCAACAAATCATTATGACATCAATATGAGCCCATACTTCTAATAGGAACACCGTCACCACACACACAATGTGATCTACAATTAATGTTTAAAACAATTCAGGACGTCACAATAAAACAACCCTAGAAGCCACGGAGCACAGAGTCTGCTGGAAGTTTGTTCCCATAGCAACTATTATGATAGGGTCAGCTCAGGGTGACTGGTAAATACCAGACCTGTCAATCAGCTAAAACTATCTGCTTGTAAAGACGGCAGCGTAGTGAGAAGTTGAACAGGTGTTATTCAGTCTGTGTTCCCCATCAGATACAGTTTCTCCTACAGCTCCGCCCACACAGAACAAAACAGTGTGTGGCTGTTCCAACCTTGTTCTAGGATCATAACTGGTGAGCTCTGAATGCAGCACAGGGTAATACAGCAAACAAGAAGGATTACACAGATTTTATAGCAAAGTTGATCCACAACTACTTTCTTCTAGCTAGTTTGCTCTCATCATGCTAGGAAACTGGAGAGAAAATATCGCTCCACAGGCCTGCGGGAGTCCTTCCTAGTCTGGAAAAATGGTTTACTGCTGTATAAGAGGACCCTTTGTAAAGCAAGAGCAGCATACTTCTCCTCATTAATAGAGGAGAATAAGAATAATCCTAGATTTATTTTTAATACAGTTGCCAAACTCACCCAGAGCCATAGCTCTGTTGAACCGTCCATTCCACCTGCTCTTAGCAGCAATGATTTTATGGGATTCTTTATAAATAAGATTGATCTTCTTAAAAATAAGATCATTAGCACGCCTCTATCTACGATTGTTTTTTCTCTGGAAGATGAGGCAGCATTTGAGGTAGTCATAGAAT